ATAATACTTTTTCATCAGTATTTTGTTCTATTTGTAAAGAGTCTAAATTAACGTCTGTTTTAAAACATCGAAATACATAATCTTTATTTTTTCCCCGATGTCTTTTATTTAACATAAATTCTGTTTTCTTAATATTCCCTAATTTTATCCAGTCAAATATATATTTCCAAATAAAATTATAATCTTTATTATATAAAGATGCAAGAGCCGATGAACAATCTTTAGATATTGAAGAAAAATTAACTGTCGTCAAACCTATCTAAGGCGTAAATGATAATATCATTAAACATGGGGAAATACCAATAAGAAAAACAAATGTAATTTTTTGAGAGATATTTTGGGCTTGAGAAAAATTTGTAGAAATTCTTCTAATATGTAATGAAATTGTTCTTAATGATTCAATAGTAAGTGGTGTTTCTGCTATGATATTGCAAGACTTAAGTATTTCACAATCTGTATCACTTTTTAGTTTATATAATAAAGTTAAAATCTTTATTGTATAAAATCTTCGTTGAGAACCAGAAATAAGTAAATTTGAAATAATATTAGAAAAAAGTGTCTCAATACTAATATTATTGAAATTAAGAGATCTTTTTATTTTAGACTTTTTATAATTACATAGAAATAATATACCTTGCCAATATATCTTCAAAAATAGCAAAAATACCTTGAAGAAATAATATATTTTTAGAAAATTGTTTACTTGACTCTGAAATATAATCAAAAAGGTTTGTAAGGTCATTATCCTCAAGACCATCACATTTTCTAGAAGAAAGTTCTGTTAATAAAATATGTATAACAGGTACTAAATCAGAATTAAATTCAAGAGTTAAATATTTAATAAGAAGTCTATATAAAATTTGATTAAGTGATTTAGAATCAAAATCAATACAAGATAATAGTTTTAATCGTTTCCATATTAATATTTTATTTTCAATGAATGTTTCAAGGGATGTTTTGTTAACTAGTTTCTCAAAGTATTCTAATATATTCTGAAGTATATAATGATTAGATGAAAATTTAATTTTCTTCCTTTCTGAAACATAAGGGTTTTCGGATAAATATATTAATATTTGTGAGTCATTAATAGAGAGCAACAAAGAAATAGCATCATCTTGATGAGTTTCCCAAATTTTGCATATAAAACTATTTTTATAAGGAAATGTATACATTAATTAAAGATTAATACTTATAAAAATATCCTAGTAAAAAGGTATTAAATCTATTTGTAGGCATGATGAGTACTAGTTTAAAAAACATCTTAAATGTATTAATCTATGATTAATTAGAATAATCCACAATGAAAAAAATAAAACATCAGATAATTCAAGATAATCCATGATTTTTTTATTATACAATATAACTGTATTTATATCCGATAAACATAATATGTTTGTGATTAATTTAATCACAGTAAGTGAATATCTATTTTGTACTGATAAAATTGACAAAATATGATCTATAACAATTTTCCAATCTTAAAATGTTAAAAAAATACATCTTAGATAATTTAATATATACCTGTAATTTTTCTTCCATTTTGAGTTGATATGCAAATTAATAATAAAGAATAGTAATCATCTAGATTATGAAATTTCGGTTTTTTTAGATTAATTAACAATACTTCTACAATAGGAAAAAAAGCCCCATCATCAGTATGATTAATTAGAGAAATAATAGTATTTTTTAAAATTAAATATATTATTTCTTCTAATCATAAATTAGTTAGATATATAATAAAGATAATGCATACGAAAACCCTGTTCCCAAAGTTCTATTAAATGAGTTATTGTTTTTGTTGCCTTTGAATTCAATGTATTTTTTATGCTCTTAAATAACAATGTTTAAATTAAATAAAATTTTAGCATTTAAACAAACCTTGCATGATTCTGAAATTATTAATGATATACCTTGAAGATATAAATTAGAAAAATTATTTTGTAAATCACTTATGAATAATTTTATAAGCAATATTTTCTGTGTATCATTAATTCGTTTAAATAAAAATGCAATAGCTTCCGCGGTATAACGAATAATATATAGTTTTGTTGTATTTTTACGAAGTAATTTTGATAATATTTGAAAAATATTCTCAAAATTGTTTAATACAACTTCTAACAAATATTTAAATAAATATGCAATACTATTAAATGTCCACTATTATTGTTAATCTTTTGTTTGCGTATAATTAAAAGAATACTTTAATAACATTCACATCTTCACTTATCAAAATAGACTCCAAAATTTCAAATGTCTTAATGATAAATGGATTAAATTCTTCTTTTAAATCTCTAGAAAAAGAAACTAGTAATCTTGTAGATTAGAAATATAAATCTCTTATATAAATGGTTCTTACGATAAAAAAGGTTCAAGAGAAAACGAATTGCTTTTGGAAATATAGTTTGTTATTATATCAAATATTTTTTGTTTATGGTATAAAATTTGAGGAAGTGACTGGGAAAAAATACAGATTTCACTAGAAAAAGTAATAAAATCAGGAGATAAATTTAACTCTTTCCATTCTTGTAACGAACTACTGAAATGAGATGAATCCTATTGCAATATAAGTGAAATTTTGGCGTCAAATATTAGTTTACTATGTTATTATCAATATAATAATTAATTTTATTTGAAATATTTATATGAAGATCATTGAGAATTTCCGTAAATGATTTAAACTGATGATATTAAACATTAAATATTTGTAATATTTTTTAGATTTACGATGTATTTTTTATTTTTTTTATGTGTTTTTACATTTTTTTTCATTTATTTTTTTAAGTAAAATGATCGAAATTTTTAATTTTATATAAAAATCTAATATTTTCATATACATAATATCTAGATGTGATATTTTTAAGATAGCTTATTCAATATTTTTATTAAATTATTGTATTAAGGTCTTTAAGATTATTAAAATATTATTTAGATTTATTTTTATATGAATTAATAAGTATATTACAAGTAGTTATGTGTAATATTATATGAATTTTATTTTTTTATAATAACTTTTATAGCTTATTTTTGAAATTATATATATATATTATGTTTATCTCTTATTTAAGCATAAAAGTTGAATATTTAAGAATTAATTTTATATATAATAAAAAATAAGATAATTAAAATAAAAATTTGTTTTAATATATAAAAATTTTTTATACTGTCATATTTGACCTTTTAAAAATAAGTAAATATTTAATAATTATTTTAAAAAATATTTTTTGTAATTTAAACATTTAGAATTTCCATTTAGAGTAGTTAAAAAATATGTTATTGATATAAATTAATAGTGCAAATAAAAGTAAATGTATATTAGTGTTTTTACTGACTATATATAGGTGGAAGATTTGTTTTGAGTAATAGTCTTTTAAAATTAAGTAAATAAGTAGTTTTGATTATATTTGAATTGATAAACTTATAGAAACTCTATGTTTTTTATTATTTTATATTTTATTTTGAAAATTGATTGATTATTTTTAATCTTTTGATTAAAATTTTTTATTGAATATTGCTAGTGCTTGTTTGAAGTTTTAAATAAAATATTATATTTTTTTTATTAAGATATTTGTGAAACTTTATATAAAAATATAAATAGAATATAATTCTTCCTGAACTTTTAGCTTACAAATAATCTGTGATTAATATTAAATTTGAAAGCATGGCTATTTTATTATTTTGAATTTATCAATAATTCTATCTATTTTTTTGGATAAGTCTTGATTTGATTAATAAAATGAAGTTAAATGAAAATATAAAAAAAATTAATAATTTAATAATATATATTCTTATAAGCTTTGTTTTTGTTTTTATTTTATGAAAATTATTTGTATTTTTTAATTTTTAAATATTTTTTTTGAATTATAAATAATATTCTTGAGGAAATTATATATTTTTAGTTATCGTTTTAAATATTTAATCAGGAGATGTTATTCATAGGTTAGTTTTCATAATTCATTAAAAAAACTTTGTTATTAACTATATAGAGTTTAAATTTTTTTAATTTATTTGCTATTTTTTTATATTTCTTGGATAAAAATTACTATTTTTAATCTTAAAGATATTTTGTGAATTTTGTAAAATCAAATTATTTTTCATATATAATTTAAGTTTAAAAAAATGTATAATTTATTGTATGTTACAATAAAATAAATGTTTTAAATTATTATTAAATTTATATATTATTCAAATTATTGTCTAAGCTATTTTAATAAACAGGACAATTAAAATCTATACTAAATGATAAAAACATTATTTTTTTATCAACTTTTATCTGTATTTTAAATTTAATTATAATAATATATTAAAATATAATTGTTTCATAATAGTAAACGATACTTAGAAATTTTAATTTATTTTATTATTTTTTACTAATAAATTTATTATAATTTAAAAATATTTTTGAAGTTTTTTATTATCTTTATTCTATATAAAAAATTATTGAATGTTAAGTATTTAACTTATCAAATAAATATATTTAGTCTATGAAAAATATTTTTATTTTTTATTTCATAATAAAATTATTTATATAGCAATTTTCAATAATATTTTTATATAAATGTTGTTTTTTTATAAATTAACAATAGTTTTATTGATAAAAATATTTAAATAATCTTTTAATAATTATATATTTTCATAATTTTAAAAAATTAATATTATTTGTATTAAAATCAAGGATCCATATAGTAGATAATGCTGACATATTTCAATAATAGTTTATTTCATATTATACAAAATATAGGATTTTCATAAATCCATAATATATTTATTTTTATTAGACTTTTGAGATTTAATGTTGTATTAATATTAAACAAGTTTTTGCACTTTAAATGAGTGAGTTCAAACATTTGAAAATGTTTTTAATAGCACAAATGAAATATATAATATAATTAAGACTGACTTTTTCTACTAAAAGAGAATAACATAAAGTAATTTTATATATAAAATATTTGCAATAATTGAAAAAAGTGAATTTATATACGACTTTTTTGTATAATCTAAAGTTATAGCTTAATTAGATCTATTAATTTTTCGTTAGGACCTCTCCAATTTTGAGGAAAAAAGTCAATTAAATTATCGAAAACTTCCATTCTAAGAGTATGTATAAGATTTTTCATTTCTGTATCATCAGTGCATTTTTCTAGTATTTTTAAATATATATTTAAAACGTTTTTTAAACCAACCGGATTTCGGTGCCAATAGTTCGCTTGTTATAAGAGAGTAAAAAGAATAAATTTCCTCTTTATTTGAATGATCAAGTAAAGCAGAAAGTTCATTATGTAAGTATGATAGCGCATCTATTGAAGATAATACATGACAAAGTTCTCTAAATCTATAGTAAATTAGTTTTATTTAATTAATAATTTCAAAAAAATGCCTTTGTTTTCGTAAATATAGTTTTAATCGCCTTGATATTTCTGAAATGGTCGGTCTATAATACATAAATATAAGGTTTTTGGCAACTGAAATATATACTTCTGTAGTTCAAGAGTCCAGAAATCCCCTAACCTTTCTTTTGGAAAATCTTTATTTCTTGGATTTCCACCATATCTAAGGCAATTATTAATTATATAGATAATAATAGATATTTGTATTACAAAAAGTGTAGTTCGGATTTTTCATCATATACAAGTTGATGAGCATATCTAGATGCTTGTTATATTAAAGTATTATCATTCTAATATTATTACCTAGGACAAGGTCTATTTTTTCCTTTTGAAAAACTGTTATTATCATTTTGATTAATTTTGTTCCAAACACCGTGTTTTATGTTATTTCCGTAATAATAAACCCAAGCAGAGCTCCTGACAATTTCCTGGTTACTCTTCTTATCCTTTATTAAACCGCTTAATACTATTATTTCCTTTTTTTTTGGATTCAATGTAGCTCTTTGTGTAAATCCTCCTTCAGGACCCCCATCATTAGAATAATCCATGCTTATAACGGAAATTTTGTCTTTATCTATATCATAAAGATAAAAATCTGAAAGGTATTCTTTACAACGTTGCCCTGCAAAAATAAAAAGACATCTCAGAATGGGTTCAAAGAGCATTGAATGACCAATTCTTGATCTTAAAGTATTTATCGTAGGTACTAACGAATTGCTATCTTTTCTGAATAATCATGATCCTTAGTTAAAAATCCTAAAAAATAAAATATACCTAAGAATTTTCCATGTACGATCTGGTATAGAATAACAAAAGAAGTCGCTAAGTTTCTAGAAATATTTTTAGAATAAATTATATTGAACTGTCTTTATACATTTACAGATGGATCTAATGTGACTATTCTTCCCCCAAAAACATATATTATTTGGTTGCTTTCATCTATACACATTGCATGATCGAAAATCAAAGAAGGTCCATTATCATTCTTTTACAAGTTATATTTTATAATATATATAAGCTAATTATTTACTGCTGTATTTTTTGAAATACATTCCCATTTTTCAGTTTTTATATCCCATGTCCAGAAATCTGCTATACATATATTTTCTTGATTTCTTTGATTTGCTTCAATAAACTTTCCAAGAACATAAATCTTTTTTTCTTTCGAATCAAAACATATTTTATGACATGATCTAGGGGACGGACCATTTTGTCTTTTTAATCAATAGAAGTTTATAAATTAGATTTATACTAACAATGATGTATCATCAGATATTTTCTTCCATGTATTGTATTTTATAGAATATGACCAGAAGTCTGATAAATCCTTATAGCCATCCCACCCTCCAAAAAGATATATTGTTCTTTCCTGTAATAATTGGTAAATTATTATAATTTTTATTTTGATATACTTCTTGATCAATACACATCTGGTGACCTCCTCTTACGCCTGGAATACTATATAAATCTGATTGAACGTTTTCAACCCACAATGAATTATAACACTGTTTTGATATATATTCATTAAATGCATTCATTGACTGTGCTTCGTCAATTAAGAGTTCTGCTTTGACAAAATTTCCATCGATCACTAATGTTTGGTATAGATTATTCAGAAACGGGTGTTCTAGTTCTATTGGAAACAAAGAAGATAATAATTTGAATGTTTTTATAGAGTTTCGGCGACGAAGGTGTGTAAGAGTAAGTTTTAAAGCATATGTTTCTAGCTTTGATTCTAAGTTATTCATAGCATTTGTCACAATTTTTCTGCATGTCCATCCATGTATTTTTACATGCCATATCTAAAAATATAGATATATTAGACTTTATTTTTATTAACATAAATCATACAGAAAAATTAAAGTCTGTGCCCCAAACTGCTAGAGGAACAATTTTTAAAAAGAGAATAGGAACATGTGTGTTGTGTTTTCTGCTCTTCCTTAATAATTGAAAAGATTCTGATTCAACGTCATTTGTAAGTCCTAATATAAGTATGACAAAAAAAAGGTGTATTGAAATATAAAATTTACCAGTATGTAAAACAAGAAGCATGCTATTTCTCGATGGTCCTCCGTAAACTTTTAGCCTATGTAATTATTAGTAGCAGATAATTTAGCTAATATTAAATTTTATTACTCTTTGAGATTGCAAACATGAGGTTTATAATATTTCCCAAAAGTAATTTCTTTTACCTAAGTTAAGTATTAGATAGATAATTTCCTTTTATTTATATGCTACAATAGATAATTGATTTAATTTTATTATAATATACTGTTCATTTGTGTTATTAGTGGAACTCCACCTTGATCCCTGATCTTCGGGGCTATCGACTAAAATATGAGATGGATGATATGTAGAACTATATGATGACCATGAATCTATGCTATATAGGATATCATGGCTTTTTTCATTGGCTAATTCTTTTTCTATAGGATCTTGATCATCTTCATAATAGTTATTTGTGGCCATTTGTATATTTTTATTAGCAGCGTTTAAAGATTTTCGATAATATATAGTATAATTGTAATTGCAAGAATTAAACGATTTAAAAATTAGATACATTACATGAATTTATTTTTAAATAGGAAAATCACGAGTTTAATGAATATATTAAGATTTAGAAATTCTATAATTTGAGTGAAGATAAAAGTTTCGGATATTCACATTTTCATATTGAACCAACTTTAATATTTTTATTAGATCCTTTTTTTGGATTTTTGTTTTTCTTGATCTGGGTAAGCAAAATGAAGTATTTGTTGAAATTCTTCATTTTCCATAAACTCTAATCGAATAGACTCTAAAATAAAATTAAGTGAATCGCTAATTCCAATTTTGAGATCTTGAGGAGATAACTGGATGTTTTAATATAATTCCTGTTTTATATTTATTTTACCCTTCTGTTTACATAATCCAATTCTAAAAGTTCATAGGAATTATATAAAACTTGGCCTCCCCATTTTTCTTCTCGGTTGATCATTAGTGTTGGAATTCCTTTAAGTGCAAGAACAGGAAAAATTACATGTTTTGCAAATTCTAAAAGACTGTTGTTTTCTACAGTTGCTTCTACGCATAATGCTTTATTTATTTTTTTTTTGACAGTTTCTGCATCATCCAAAATGTCAATTTTGTTATTCTCGTTTCCTGAAGCAGACATTTTTCTAAAATACCTTGAGTAAATCATTTATAATAATACTTTTTTACCCTCCTGAAAGACCAGGTATCATCGGACTCATAAGATGTATTCTTTTTTTATATCCAAGCATTGGAAGATATTTTTCAGCAAATGTAAAAATCTTTCTTTGGTCAACTCCTCCAAATTGGGCATCACTGTCTAAATGTTCTTCATCTAAAGCTTGCATTACCGGATATAGAAGTCCTGAAAGTAAACTATTTTCTACTTGTTTTACAACTTCTGCTCCTGCTTTTTTTGCATCATGTTCTGTAACAATAGTACAAAGACGAAAATTGTCCATAGAATACTTAGAAGTTAGTTGATAGGATGACCCAAGAACAAACCGGAGCTTTTCAGTTGAGACACCGATTGATTTAAGAATAGCTTTAATAATATATTCATAATATTTGGCCCTATATTTTACAATATCAATAGGAGCTTTAAGATTATCTAAAAAAGCATGAATATCTTTTTTATTAAATAAAAGTTACTAAGTATATAGAATATATAAACATTACCCGCAAAAAGAATAGTAACCTTTAAATTTGTAAGTATTACATTTATATATATACTAATCTTCTCTTACTTCTACATCGGCTTTTAAAAAGTCTGCAATTTTGATCATAGGAACAAAGTATCCTAAATGTATTATGAATCATGCATGCGTTATAAAAAAGATGTACCACAATGAGGTTTTCCTGTAGGAGAAGTCCCCCTAATTTAATTGTTAACTTATTTTTTATACTGTTTTGTTTAAATACCAATAAAGTTTTAAATCTCGTTCTTCTAAAATCTTTTTAAGTCTTTCAGCACCAAGGACTTCTTGAAGTCCACGTGTAATAAGATTATATTTTTTATTGACTAATTCATTTGTAAATGTCATGATATTCAAAAGTTCTTTTAAAAGATGTATATCGTAAAAATGTTATTTTTTACGATATAGCTTTGCTAAATATAAACCGTATAAATTGTATTCTTATAGGTTAGATCGTTCTTTTATTGAGATTTAGGTTTTTAGCGTTTAAATCTGTTTTAACAGTTCGTGAACATTTTATTTATATATAATATTAAAGAATTTGTATTTAAACTTTCTAGAAAGAATTAATATGCTTTATTTTTAAATTTTTATATGCCTTTTGCTCAGGTAGGATTACTTGATGTGAATATTTTTGTTTAAAAAGAAAAAGCTAGTTATTGGTCCACCTGGAAGTGGGAAAACAACATATTGTCATGGTATGCATCTATTCCTTGCTGCTCTTGGAAGGAAGTCTTCTGTAGTAAATCTAGACCCTGCAAATGATCATGTTTTATATCCTTGTGCTTTGGATATACGACATCTGATATCAGTGAACGAAATTATGGAAAAAACGGGTCTAGGGCCTAATGGAGCAGTTATTTATGCGCTGGAAACTTTAGAAAATAACTTTGATTGGCTAAAGGAAGGTCTTGAGTCTTTGGGGGGTGATATATATTAGAAAATTGAGGAAATGATTTATAAAAATAGACGATTATATTCTTTTTGACTGTCCTGGTCAAGTGGAACTTTTTACTCATCATGGTTCTTTACGAGAAATTGTTTCTAAATTAGAAAAAATGAAGTATAGAGTAAGATATATTTTTTTTATATTTCTATATCTTATTTTTGCAGTTGGTAGTAGTACATCTTGTAGATGCACATTATTGCACTGATCCTTCGAAATATATAAGTGTTCTTATGCTGAGCTTACGTAGCATGTTGCAAATGGATCTTCCTCATGTGAATGTTTTAAGTAAAATTGATTTAATAGGAATGTATGGTGAATTATGTGTGTATTTTTATTATAAATGTATTTTCTAACTTAAATTAAGTATTTAACTTGGATTTTTATACTGAAGTTCAAGATTTGTCTCATTTATTACCTTATTTAGAAAATGATTCGAGGCTATCGTCATTTACTTCTTTAAATGCTTCTATTTGTGATATGATTGAAAGTTTTGGTTTAGTAGCATTTGAAACTTTATGTATAGAAGTATATGTTTCAATAACTATTTCTTATATTTGACTAATGATTTTTAGGATAAAATTTCTATGACAAAATTGTTGTCAGTAATAGATAGGGCTAATGGATATGTTTATGGTACTTCAGAAGTTGCTCACGATAGTCTGTTTAGTGTAGCTGGTAAAGCGATTTATGTCTGATCGAATTATTTATAATTATATTAGTGCGACAAGGATGGAATTATGAGGGAAATGTACATGATGTTCAAGAACGTTGGATTACGAATAAAAAACAGTATGATGAACATGAAACCAAGCAATGGATGGAAGAAGCCACTTCTATTAATATTCACGAAAGAATAGAATAATAATTAGGTATATTTATTAAAGTTTTTATGTATATACAGTTTTGAGAAAAATGCATAATATACAGCGATGGTTTAATACAATGTTAACAGCTTTGTGATCATTTGTCTTTCCAAAATTTAAACTTACATATATTTAAATATTATATAATAAGATGTATTTTATTATGATTGATAAAAAATATTATGTCTTTGTATTCTGTTTTTTTGCTATTCCTACTTTTTGGTTATTTAATTCTTCAAGATCCTTATGTTTATAGTAATGCGGGGAAACTTCAATGAGCCACTCTGGTTTGATTTCCATTACTTGACGACAATATTCTTTACTAGTTAAAACCAATTCATAATATAAGATCCATCTAGTTTAATTAATATTTAACAAATATATAAACAGTTAAGATACTTTGGATTAACACCAAACAGAACACTATTTGGATGTATATAAACAGTCTGTCCTGATTTTATTGTTCTATATGAATCGCTAGATTTTTGCAATCTCGCAACATTATAAAAAAATCCAGCAGTAATGGATTTCTGAATAGCTATAATATCCGACGATGCTGTACCTGTAACAATCTCAACACGCTCGCACTATATAAAAAGATAAATTAGTTATTTTTAATAAAATACTTTTGCTTACTAAACGGACTAATTGGTCTCTAACATCCCTAACACGTGTGAGAGACCTATGTTGAAGAAAATTTTCCCTTGCCCATTGATATGAAAAGTTTGTATCAACCCACTGATAAGTTATTAAAGAAATTTCTAAGAGAATGTTTTTTACCTCATTCCAAATATTTAATAATGTTAAATGATCGCTACCAGGTCTTGTAAAATTTTGTCTAGCTTTATCTGCATGGAATTTTTTATCTTTAGGACGATAAAATATTGAAGAGCTTTCTCCTAACATACTAACTATAGAAAGAACTTCTTCAACACAACCATATTTGCTGCTAGATAAAATTGTTTTTGCTAACATTGGATCTGTAGAAATATTAGATATTATTTATTGCTATGTAAATTTTACTTGTAGGGAATTCTGCCATTTGACGTCCAACTTTTGTAAGTTCTCCTTTGTCATTTAGTGCACCAAGTGCATAAAGTTGCTCTAGTGCACGGCTTAACGTTTTAACAGGAGGAGGATCCATAAAATCAAACCCAATAAGATCATTAATACCAAGAGATTTTAACAAAAGAACTACATTTCCTAAATTAACACGTTGAATTTCTGGGGTAGTATTTTCGTCTAATTCATTATGATATGCCCACCATGTGTATAATCTAAAACATTTACCAGGACCTACTCGTCCTGCACGTCCACTACGCTGGTTTGCAGATGCACGAGAACATGGTGTAACAACTAATGATTCCATACCTGTTCGAGGATTATAGATATTTTCTTTAACAAAGCCAGGATCTATAACATAAACAATCCCGTCTATAGTAATAGACGTTTCTGCAATATTTGTAGCTAAAACAACTTTTCGAGCACCTTCTGGAGTAGGTTCAAAAATTTTAGATTGCAATTCTGATGGCAAATTTGCGTAAATAGGAGCAATAATCATTTCTTTGATTTTGTTACCAAGTTTACGACATGTTTCTTGAAGATTTTCAGCTGCTGCTTCTATTTCTTCTTGTCCTGTAAGAAAAACTAATATGTCGCCTTTTCCTTGTGTAGTATGGATTTGAAAAATAGTTGTTATAGCAGCATGAAGATAATTTGCTTCTGGATGTTGTGTATAGTGTAAATCAACAGGATACCGACGCCCAGGAATATTAAAAATAGGAGCGTCATCAAAATATGCTGCGAATTTTTGAGCATCCATTGTAGCAGATGATATAAGAAGCTTTAATTCGGGCCTAAAACGTGCAATATCTTTTACTAGACCAAATAATATATCAGTATGTAAAGTTCGTTCATGAGCTTCATCAATCATTAATGCTGAATAATCACTAAGATCCGGCGTTGTTAGGAATTCTCGTAAAAGCATTCCATCTGTCATGTATTTTATAACAGTTTTATCACTTGTACAATCTTCAAATCTTATAGAATATCCTACCTCATTCCCTGTTTTTACTCCCATTTCTTCTGCTACACGAGCTGCTACTGACATTGCTGCTACCCTACGTGGCTGAGTACATCCAATTTTTTGATTATTTTTAGTATATCCAGCTTCGTGAAGATACTGTGGAATCTGAGTTGTTTTGCCTGATCCTGTTTCACCAACAATAATAAGGACTTGGTAATTGGAAATAGCACTTAGAAGTTCTTCTTTAAAGGCATATATAGGCAAATTTTTTCTTGTTTCTTGAATAGAATTTGCTAAAAGATTTAAAAAAAGACTAATAAAATCAATGCGATACCTTTTTCTTCTGCTTCTCTAATCCTCTCTTCCATGATCCTTTGTTCTTTGCTTATAAAGGCTCCTTCAAGTGTGTTTCTCAAAACAAAATCTATTTTCTGACTATCATCAAAAACATATTCAAATTCTTCTGTAGATTCTATTTTATTTAGAGTTCCTACTTTTACAGTAGCTTTATTTGTTTGATATTCTTCCCATTGATCTTGTTCGGTAATAAATTTTTCTTCTTCACGTTTATTATCTTGATAGCGCTTATATAGAGCTTCCTCTTTTTTTTTCTTATCAATTTTCCCTTTTTCTGTAATATAATCTTCTGGCATGACATAACCATCATAAGCTTCGTCTATATTTGCTCTTTGCTTTGCCAGACGTAGGACTTCTTTTTTATAATTCATTTCTTCTATTTCTCTTCTTGTTAGTTTAACACCATCAAAAATTACTTCCATTTCAGATATTTCTTTCTCAAGAAGAGCTATTTGTTGTTTTTCTCGAAGATTTAGATATTGTTGTCTACTTCTTTCCCTCAATTGAGGCAAAGCAGCATTTCTGGCTTCGATATCATTCGCTAATTTCCGACGTGCTAGTACATCTGCTGATGCTTTTGAAGATCTATCTTCAACTATTTTTCTTGTATTTTCTTTATCCTTAGCTTTTAGCCTTTCTGAAAATTCATCTCTTTCTTTGAGATCTTTTATTCTCTCATCTTCTGCTTTTTGAAGTTCATCTTCATACTCTTTAATATCTTTAGCTATATTCCGATTATCTTCCTGTTTTTTCTTTTTTTTCCTCCTTTCTTCTTGATCTTCTTCATCACTTATCCATCTGTCTTCATTTTTTTGCTTTTTGATGATTTTTTTTTTATGATTACTAGTGCTTTTTTCTTTTTTAAGAGTAACATTAATTGGTAATGATTCTTCATTTTCTTCTTCAAGAATGAGTTTAAATGATGTGTTTTTCGCATTTAAAGCAGAAAGATTTGCTTCTTTATTAGAAATGTCTGTGTCTTTTGTCTAAATTAGTTTAGCAATAATAATATAATAGAGCTTTATTTCATACTTTAGCCTTTGATTTTTTTGGTACACGGATAAATAATTCATCTGCAAAATCTTTTGCTTCTGAATTGTCTGGAAAACCAAGATAACATAATTTTGTAAAAAGAGATTCTGGACTTTGAGAAATAGATGCTAGCTTTTATTAAAAATATTTGATAGAAGAATTATGTACCCTGATTAATAATGTAATCTATTACAGATACTTCTGACATTTTTAGAAGCTTGATAGCTTTATTAGATTTAGTGATTACAATTTTAAAATAAAAATCACCTTCATTGTTTTATCTGATATCCATGATTGTAAAGACATTTTATTTCAGAAATTATTATTAAATGAAAATTTCATAGGCAGTAGTGTTCCTATTTTTGTATTCTTCCTAAATTTATCTTTTTTTTTAATGAAATTAGTAATTTTAACATTTTTAAATTTGGTGTTCGAAAATATAAATTTAAAATTATTAGGTAAATTAAAATGGCTAATTCCTAATTCAATTATTATTATATAATGTTATTTTACTTCAATATAATAGATTGTTTTGCGTTTTTTATTTATTCTGTAAATAGATATATCTGAAATCTTAAATTATTTAGAAAAATTTGTAAAGAATTTTACTAATTTTGGGTTTATTGGATTAAGGTGATAAAAGAAAAGAGAGTTGAATAATATTCCTTGGCATATTTTTTATAATTTGAATGTAAATTGCTATTTTAAGTATTTAAAAATATAGTTATAATTGCTAATTTGAGTGTAAATTTTGATTTATAAAATTATCTATAACGTTTTTTTAAAGAATTTTTTTGATATTTCATTAGATTTTTTATAGTGATGATTTAGATTTGTTGATATTAATTTTATTATTATTATTAGGTGCGTGATAAACCTGAAAATTTAATGAAATTTAGTTAATTCAAATTGTTTTATATAAGATTGTGATGATATATGTATGAGATATAAATTACAAGTTTCGTAAGATTCATTAAAATGTTATGAAACCATTATTATAGTATATTCTCATAATGTGGTCCATCCTCCTTAAATTATAAATAATATATTTACTACCCAAATAACCATTTACCTGTATCTAAAATAGATTCTAACTTTCTCGCAACAAAGCTAGGTATACTGTGTTGAAGAAATAAGTTTCTAACTCCTAAATCATATCTATGTTGATACAAATGAAGAGGTCTTCCACGTCTATAGACATTAGAAATCAAACAACAAATTTTCTTTTTACCTTAACTCAAAGTCAGTTTCACCATGAGCATCAAGATAAGGTGCATTTGCGAAACTTCCATTTGAACCATGTATGAATAGGATTGCGCATTCTTTTATTAAAAAATATATTCCAATGCTTTTTCCGCATCTAAAAAATAATAAGTTTGTGTTATTAGTTTAATTTATTTTACTTTTGCATGTGAATATTACATTCTCCTAAATCTCCTTCTGAACAACAAGTTGATCGACTACAAATAAATAAACCACAAAAAAGACATAAAGCAGGTGCTTGTGGAACAGTATTGCATTTAAGACATTTAATTTCCATACTTTTTTCAAGAAGAATTTGAAGATGCTTTGGAAGAGCTAAAA